AGCCAATAGGGCCCAGCAACTGACCTGTGATATGACAGAAAAACAGGAATGACCCTTAGAAAATTCAGGACTGTTGTCATGCATCCCCATTTGTCCCCCCATGAAACAGGGCAGTTCCTAGAGACTGCTTTGCAAACCAGAATTAAAACCTGAGGGTCAGTAAAAAAACAAAACACAAAAAAACAAACAAAACCCCCCCCCCCCAAAATGTTCTCAGCTTGTTACAATTTGTTCATCCCTCATAAGGCATGGACAGGGCTGTCCCCCTCCATAGCAACCGGGAAGGTTATAGCTATCATGTGCAGTGCTACAGAATTATTGGAGTATGCAAGTTTTAAATGTAATTGAAGAGCCCTCCTGAGGAACTACATAGACACTCATGTCTCCCAAAGTTGGAAAGGCTGAAAGAGAATGACAGCGAGGAGGCAAGAGCATTGTTATAACTCAATTAATTCACTAACAACGTTCCTTGAAACATTGTATTGATCAGATAAGCCCCAGACCTATTAAACCTGCATTTGCTATTTTATTTAGCGCACAGGGGTTTTGAAACAATGGAAGAGTTTTCTTGCGCTTTTAAATATTAACAAGTAAAACCAAATTCACTTTTTCCGTACATGAAAGGGGAAGCTTCTAGCGCTCTTCACATCCAGATTCTGGATTGTGCATACAATTAAAAAGGATTCTATGAGTGATGAACAATAAATTTAGTTTCTGTTTTATATGTAACTCAATGTTGGCAAAAATGCTAAGACTGTGAATGATTCTAAGAGAATGACTAAGACTGATCCTGCAACCACTTATGTCCCTCAGCAGCTTCACTGATTTCAGTGCAACAATGCACATGCCTAAGAGTTTGCAGGACTGAGACCTTTGAAAGTGACTATAAATGAAAGTTAATTTAACATGTCCACTTTTATTATCCCAGTTGAGTGAAATGCAAAATTAAGGAAATACTGCACATGAAAATTAGGCTTTTTCAGATTTAATATCATGTATGATCCAGTTAAGTGATTAACTGAATGGTCCCAGGGAGCATTTCTCCCTATTTGGAGAAATGGACATTAGGGTAAAAGCAGTAGAGCCCTGGGCTTAAGGAGAAAAACATCGGCACTACAAGTAATTAGTGGGCACATCTATGTGAGATGCTAGTGGTTACTGTGCATTTATCTAGTACTTGTATAAGCAAGTACCAAATAAATGCACAATAACTGGAGATACTGTGCAGCAGCACCAACAAATGTCTTTTAAGTGACGCTACTGCATAGTAGCTTAATAATACTGCGCAGTAGCAAATTAGCACTGTTAGTGCTGTGATGTGCTACTGTGATACTGTATATGCAGTATTATTTGGCTACTGTGCAGTTAGCATCTCATGTAGACATGCCCAGTTATGTGCAAATTCATCATCTCCTCTCTGGGGAATATAACACACTGAAGATATTAGCCACAGAGCAGCAGCAGAGGATGTGTTCTCATGCACCCTGTGGCAGGATTTACAAGAAGTATTTTGGACTAAGAGACAGCTGACAGAGACTGAAACTAATCATTTGCAGAATGAACAAACATTTTCCTGAGCACCATGTCCTATGGCATGTTCTGATTCTGCCATAAGTAATTCTTTAACTTGCACACATCTTTCTCCCCCACCCATGAACTGATGTTAAGGTACAGAACTATAGTGAATTTTCATGGGAACAACCATCTGTGCAGGTGAAGTAGAGCAGAGATTAAGGCAGAGTTTTGAGGGGAGCCCCACACACCATTCCACACTGTTTTAGAGGCATGTCCTCCAGAATAGTCTTCTCTTTTCTGAAAAGGTCATGGAGTGAAAATGGAAATTAGAAATGAAAGCTCTAGTTCTCCTTCTCCTCATCCCCTGCCACAGCAGAAATAACCAAATACTGTGTGTTAGACTATGATCCAGTGCCAAACAACATTTAGGGACTTTGGAAGTAGGACAGCCTGCAGAAATATGTTCCCAGTCAGGAGACTAACTGGTGGAGAAATTAAGGCAGTAGTTTTCACACTAATGGCCCACGGACCATCAGAACAGAGAAAGCATATCATAAGCATGACAGCAAAGTGGAGAGGTAAGGTTTGTTCTTTCTTTCACATCAGCCTGCAAGATGAACATAGCTAGAGAATCTTTGCCACTATCTGTAAAGTAAATCTCATAATAGAAACAAACAAGAACTGCTTGTTGTTAAAGGACATGTCTACAAACTCTGTTTAACTGGCCCCAAGTGAGCAGGCTTTCTGATATCAAAGTTGTGACTTTCAGCCAGAAACCATACAATGATTTCAGACAAGGCTCAAACCATTGATAACTGGATGCATGTGAAACAAAGGCCCTCAGCTGTTACATTCAAACCAGTTTGGCTGATAATGCAACTTTGAGCTGTTTGTGCACAGAAGATAAACACAGCAGCAAATCACATGAGTGGAAATGAGGATGGGTACAAATCATAATTTGAAACAAGTAGGTGGAGCTGGTCATCCTTGAATTGCATCTCCCAGAGGATATTTATAGGTGTCGAGAAGAATCACAAGAAAGTCATCACAGTTCCATTCTTGCCGATCTGCCATGCTTCCAGTGGATAAAAACGGATAAGAATCCTTTGTGGGAGGAAGAAGAGAGAACACAAGAGAAAAGGAAAAGTGATTATAAAATGGAAAGTTATCTCCAGCAAGTTCTCAGCAAGCCAGAAACACACCACTAAACGCAGCTCTCAGTAGTTTATAATTAAAGGCTGGAATTGAAAAGGATCAGGAGCTGGATGCTTTATGGGAGAACGTCTGCATGGATTCTAAAGTCTTGTCACTGCTAGTAGATAGTCAAACTTTTTCAACCATCCACTTATCCCCAGAACTTTGTAAATTCTCGTTACTATAGCATTCAAGTGCCTCACAGTCTTCAATATACAGTACAGTTGCATCATACGTGCATTTAACTTGTGCAAATTCAACTATACGCGGGGGGGCCCTTGAGTTTGCGGCGGCAGCGGGAGCTTTTGGCAGCATGGTGGTATGTCATCCTCATGCCACCCTGGTGAGAGAAATAACATTTCCCTGTGTCCATTTCACAGAGGAGGAACTCTGGCATACAGTCTGAGTGACTTGCCCATGCTTACACACTGCCTGTTGAAAAGCATGGACTTAAAGCCAAGTCTCACCAGCCACGCACCCTTACCACTGGGGCATTTGTCTTTAGTAATCAGTTAGCAACCAGAATAGGAGAATCCTATTCATCCAGCCATAAGAAGAAAGCCATTCAACTGTCACATCTCCTCTTCTGGTGTCACACCAACACAGCTCTATATGTAATGTCAAGATCCTGCCTCATGAGCAGCAAGGCCATCTTTTAAGTCCCGTCAATTTAAAGACAACCCTTGCTATTTGTGCCCCTCTATTTTGACCTAAGATTTTACCTTTCAGTCCCCAAATTTGGGGCAGTCTTAGAGAGCCACGGTGGGAACAAGGAAGATATTGTGCTCTAACGGGAAGGGATTGCAAGAAATGACTGCTTTGGACCAGCCAGCAGAAAAAGGCCCTCAAAGCCTCTGGCCAACTTCCCCTATTTTTGCTCAAACATGGACCTTGGACTGAAGCTCCACAGCACTGAGCCGGCTCTCCCTGGGGCACTGCCCTGGTCCCCCTGGGCCCAGGTCCCTCTACTGCGCTCACCTGTCAGGGCCAAGCCCCAGCTCCTTGGTGAGGACCTCGAAGAACTTGGCGCTGTGCCCTCGGTTCTGCTCAGCGGAGCCCACCACCCCGATGGAGGAGACCAGCAGCTGGGCGCAGGGTGCGGCAGAGCCCCCGATCACCATGGGCAAGCTGCTCTTCACTGTGACGTTGACCCTCTGCCATGCAGGGAAACAGTCACCAGGGAGGGAAGGGAGCAAGGCTGGTGGGCCTGGGCTCAGAGGAGGAATCGGTGCCCTGGGCAAGCAGGGCACACTCCCCTTCTGGGCAGCACCCCCGCCCATCTAGCTCATCCTCAGGGTCCCCTGGCACCTGCCCAACAATGCTCCCCCCCCAGGCTGGGGCTCTGCTGTGACTCACATCCACGGGCTTGCCCAGGATGGAGGCCGCGGCGGCGCACAGCTTCTGCCCCAGGTCCGGGGCCAGCTGCGCGGCCGGGAGGCTGGTCTCCAGGTCCAGGAAAGGCATCGGGAGAGAGAGGATGGCGCTGAGCCGCGGCGAGGACGAGCAGGACAAGGAGCGGCCGCTGCT